ATCCATTCCCTTTCTTTTCTAGCACATTCAAAATGATACGGTCCGGTCGAGTTATTCATCATTTATTTCATCGATCTGGTCTGATCTTGGTCTTAGTTAAAATTTATCAGTCCGGTACGGTCTTTAAAAAAACGAACCTTGCAGAGCTTTAATACACACACATACAAACAAATTACTTCATAAATTGTATTGCTCAAATATAATGGACAATGAAACCGTAAATGAAACCGATTTCATTTCATCAACTAATATTCAGTGGTCCCTGTATCACTATCCAATAAAAACCAAAAATTGAAGGATATATCTCTATATTATTTAAAAGATTGCCTACCAATCGATAACCTTACATTCGGGAAAAAATGAATCCCTAATTTATCTAAAAAGCTAAGTAAAGTAGCTAAATAAGCTAAGTAAGAAAATTATATAGCCTTATGGTAAAAATAAAAATAAATCTTCATACGGAAACAGAATGCATTTAATCTTCATTGAAATTTAACCAAAATATTTATTTACTTTATCTTAGTATAAAATTTATTTTTCGTGTTAACTGTAGAATTGAAAACTTTCCTCAGCCCAAAAATCATAAAACTGTTCAGATATCAAATGACACAACATATCAATTTATCTATCATTGTTAGATGGAATATGTTAAAAATCATAACGCGTTGGCTTTTCCAAAAGTGTAAAATTTAAGGTCTTTGACATTTTGAAATAATGATAAATTATGTAACCTTTTAATATAAATCCATATTTGTATCATTAGTATGATATATATCATATTCATGACATAAATATGGATTATATATATACACATATATATATATATATATATATTTTTATATGTTCTATGTAAGAAACTTAGGTAATAACGAAAAATGTCGTTTGAAAGTCGCAAATAACTTATTTAGGCATACTGCATGCATTTAATAATTTAATGTGTAAAAGAATCCTACAAGCGATCAGGAAATCCTATTTTGAAACATATTAATTATTTTACATAGGTATTATAATGGATTTTTTATTTTTTCTATTAATTCGTAACATTTATACACAATTATCAATTTTACTCGAAACATGCTTAAATCTATTTATCGATCATAATATCAATGATTTCAATAGATAAATTTAATTTATATTAAATTTAGCACATAAAATTATTTCTAATTTTTTCTTCATAGAATTTTAAAGATTCGTTAACAATAGTTATAATTTTAATTCTGTGTATTTGTTGTCTTATAGTGTACACTATATACTTTATAAATAATAACTAAACTTCTTCGATTTTAATATTCTTGCAATAAATGGTAATAATGATGTAATAATCGTTACAATGGTTCAAAATAGTCAATAGAGTAACATAAATTAAACAAATAAATAGTATTTATATTATTTATTGATAAAGAAACCGATTTTTTATACACTTTTAATTCAAAATTCCAATTTAAAAGCATTTTCATTGATTGGGTACAAACAAAATGGAAATAAAAATAAACCTCTCTAATAGTTTACATAATTTATAACAAATAAACGGTTTAAAAAAAATATACGAGTTACTGGTATCTTATTTAATTTAATATGTTTTATTGATATTTTCAATTTGTAAATAGAAATAGTAATTTTATTTTTTTTACAAACCATGTATTTTAGATTTTGAACAAATCTAAAAAATGTATTGATTTTACTATGATAGAAATGTGATGGATTAAATTTATTTGTTTGTTAATACATAATAGCAGAAGTTTCATGTTATAACTTTTTCAATAGAAAATAATTAAAAATTGGTTTCCATTAATTTTCTCATTTATTTTTTAATAGCAAAGTATCAAAGTAAACTGAAAAAACTGTAACACAAAGTTTAAAAAAAAAAAAATATAATTTACATCCCTTATACATTTTTTTACTAAATATTTTTGAAATATATAATTTTATGTTTTAATACTTAAAAATATATGTGCCTATATTTAATTTTTTTTTTTGCCTGATTTTAAAAATTAGACAAATTTATAAATTTATCTTAATTTTATTTTTATAAAAGTATTAAAGTTTGAAGAACGCAATAATTAATTATTTTTACTATAAAATTGATAAGAACTAATATTTTTATGTTTTGAAAAACTTAATATCGACTTGAAATTGAAAAGATAATCATTGAGATTACATTTTGTGCAAAATCTTTTCTACGTACAAATTCACAATACTAAATTGTTCTAACTTTCTCCATAAAAGGTTATTATATTACAAAACTCGACCACCAAACTTTAAGAGTAGTTGTGTTGCACGCGAAATAATTTTCTACTTCCGGTTCGACTTTAAGTTTCACGTCAAATATTATAGCTTTATCATTCGGAACTACCTGTACAAATAAACAAACTTAACAGCCAATATTTTTTCTTTGTAAGATGTTGAATAAGTATTAGAGACTGAAAGTTTATACATGTGTACTAACTTTAACCTCCTTCGATATACTATCAACAAGACCTCCTACTTTACTTAACTCTCATTACGATCTGCAATTATTTTATCTTCGTTTTCACGGATTTTTTCAACACTCTTTTGTAATCGTATGGATGTAGAAGTATTATAAAATCGATCATAGGACTATATATAAACTGATACTCTATACTATAGAAGCTTATCAGAAAGAAAAATATCTTTTAGAAAATCGAATAACGCGTAACCGTATGCGATTTCCATTCACTATTACAAACGTTGCTTAATATTATCTATACCATAGATCATGTCACCTTGGACTTTCTAACGAAAAAAACATAATACATCAGCTGAAAATCGTCTTTAATTTAAATAAGATTAATTACGATATAATTACAATTAATTTAAATACGTACACTATAGTTCCCTTTTTTTCCTTCCTGCAAACATTTTATTAATTTCTTGATTTCGTATTTTAATTCATTAAAAAAAATTATACTTTTAAAGGTTTTCATCGCACCGCAATATTTAAGTTTTGGTACAATACACAGGTACACAATTCTTACTGGAGAAGATATTTCGTTATCAAAGGATTCTTATTTCATCGTCGTAAAGAAATCGAAAACGATAGAAATAAACATGAAACAGCTTCTATAACATATGATTATTTTAAATTATACCAATTCCTATGTATGACCAGATTTATTCGTTTTAATAAAGACTTGAATAATTAAGAAAATTAAACAAAACATGAATTAATAGTTTTTGCACTTTGAACTTTTTTAATGCTTATTGCATAATATTTGTAAAAAGTATTAAACTTTACGATGATAAAACTTTCATTACTAACTTTATTGAAATTTCATTTCAGTCTCATTTTTAAAGAACACATTCACATGGATTATATAAAGAAAAATTATTCTCGTATTGAAATAATAATAATTTATAGGTCAAAAATCTTTAGATTAAAAATTATAAATGCTTAAAAATTTGTATATTTTATGAAAGATAAAATAATTGAAATAAATCAATGCACAAATTTGTTGGAAATAATGTTTCCAAATGGATTCAGATAGGACTATTTAAAAATAAAATCGATTGAAAATTTAGGAGGCGTTATTAGAAAATCGGAATAAACCTACTTAAGGGGGATGATTTGAACGTCATCGTGCGAATATAGGAGTGAAAAAAACAATGTATATGTATATATATATATATATATATATAAACAATGTGTAACTTAAAACTATTATAACTAATAACCAGTGTTGGGATTATATAAATACTCTTTTATATATATAAACATGAAGTCTAATAATAGTCAAGAAAATCTCATTTTTTGAAGAAAAAACCATAGATCCTAGTTTACTATATAGTACTTCAATATTATTCAAACATATACTATATGTTTAAATTAATGTTTGAATTCGACATTATTATAAATCAATACTCAATAAGTATAAATTAACCAACATTTTAAAAATTAAGTACAAATATTAAGAAAGAATATATCACACGTGTAACATGTCACAGTAAATTGTTATTGTTATGAACTTTCATAACAGTATACATTTAAATTTTTTTTAGTAGACTTACAATTGTGATTTATTAAGATACGAGTTATATCATTTATACTATATATACAATAAAAGAACACTTTATTTTACGTTAAAATAATAATATAAGACGCAATTAAATAAGTTTATTAATAAAATAAATAAGGTCCCACTGAGTAACCCACCAGTCATTCTTACTAATAAATAATTATTATCACTTTTCCATTAATTTACCAGCTCACCACTTACCAAAATAACATCGTAATAACATTTACTCTATTTTTGAGCTTTTGACCCCGGGTTTCGAACGAAAACGTTAATAATATCCAATATTATTATGTAATTTTTATTGCCGGATTATTCAAGAATTCAAATTTCAAGCTTGTTTTCTACTTGTCAATAGAATAAACTGACAATAAAAATGTGTACTTTTTCTTTCGCATACAGTTGAATTTATCTAGACACTTTTTTGGATAACATGAAACTATTTATCTGTATAAAATAAAAGATAACTAAATAAGTCGCGACACTGCTAATAACCATTGCCTATACGCGTACACGGCATAGCGTTCGTACGGTCTATAGTTCGCGATAAATCCTTTATACGCAAAACTCGTGTGACGTCGTCACCGCAATAATACTATAGAACGAAATAGTAAACAAAACGTCCAAGACAGTGGCGGATTTAGGGTATGAGGGGTGCTAAAAAGTCGAAGCAATCATCCGGGCGCCATGCGACAATGAGATTAATATCGAAACAAACAATTTTCCCCAAACGTAAAACGTACACGCGAAAAACACAACTGATTTCCCGGAACATCGAAACCGCAAACCATCGGTTTGTTTCCACCCCGCGGTCATACGTCCAAGGACCATTAATAGGGAAACAGCAACCGCCATGAAAAAACCTCTAGATCCGCCACTATGTGCGTGAGCCAACGGTGCCGCGCGCGCGGCCGCTGCGCCAACACGTAAATTAAACGTCCGGAGTGGACGGAAAACGCGTGATCTCACCGGTGTCGGGTAGGCCGTGGCGGCGTGCGCGCAGAACAGCGCCAAGGCTACGGCGAACTGCATTTGACGGTTCAGCATCGCGTCGTCGTGCGTCGGTGCTTCAAGGGCGGATTGGTCGTCGGCAACCGAGTTGCTGGCGGTCTAGATGCGCCGCGCCTTGCCGTGTGAACCGGTCGCGCGGGTCTGGTGGTGGGTTTCGAGCGAGTTGTTGCCCCGGGGTTCGGTGGTCTGCCGCAGAAGTCCCGAACGTGGTGCTACGTGTGCGCCCAGTGGTGTTCGCGTTCTGCCGCGCGTGCTCTTCTTGCCCGTGCGCTCTTCACTGGGGTTCTCGAGCCGTGCGGTTGCCGTGTGTGTTGAACCCGGTGTTCTGCTGTGAACGACTCGAATGCAGCTGCTGACTACTGGACAACGAGTGCACCGCGCGGTCGACCGAATAATATTAAGTGAACGCCAACGAAACGCTGGAGCCCATATTTATACGCGGCGTGCGTGCGGCGTGCATACGCGCTCACCCGCCATGACTCCGCCTACACGCGCACCACCGACCCTCCCGGGCGCTACGACCACGCGGCGGCGGCCGTGGCTTCGACGGCGGTCGCGCGACGTGGACGTGGTGCGTGACGTCCGTCTCACGTGACGACGATTTCGGCGCGGTGCCGTACCGACCGAACCGTTCCGCCCTTATGCGCTTTCCGTTCAAACGTATTCTACGGTTTTCGGATTTCGTTGTTTTCAACGATTGCGCGCTCCGGCCTTTTATACAAAGGGCTTCCAAGTTTTCGTGAATAAATTATAAAACTTTGATCGCTGTCGTGAAATGCAAATTTTTCATTTTCGCGTCGTAGGCACCCTACCCCCTTGCTACGTGCCCTGGATAAAAGCTTTGGTCTCCTACGATCGCGCGTCTATGAATGCGTCTGCGCGATACGAGAATTGTTATCGGTTCACGTCCATCGGTAACACGAAACGGATGTATGATACAGTACAATGTATGATTTGATTGGAAGACGAAGCCGACACGACCAACTTTTATTACTGGTCCATTTCAAGTATGGAAGGCTACTTCAACATTATAATTCAGAGGCTCTTGATTTATAACGAATTCCTGGCGTATTTCAATTTTATAGATAAATGTTAATTCTAGTCGTCCACACGACGTGATTGACGCGCGTGAATTGTTCACAAACGTAAACACCGTTTTTCGGCAGTTCGACTTAATCGTAATCGCGCAAACGCGATTCGCGCAAAACGGCATTGGTGGATGCACGGCTGTAGAAAATAAATGCTTTACAACGACAACGTGTATATGCACGGCGTTGTAACCTGCGTCCGAACGATCGACGCGTACATGTGAATATTCAACATCGCCGGTACATGTAGGTACCTGCACCTGTGCGCGCGCGTGTCGAACGATGGTCGAACAACGGTGGTCGAGGTGTGTGCGCTAGCTGAAAATCCGCTGTTAAGACCTGTTAACGTTTTTACATCCCGTACACGTACGGTTCGAAATAACATAACTATAATTATTCGAAATATATAACGCGCGATGGGGGGGGGGGGGGTGTCGATTTGCACCCACCACATTTGTTCATCTACGGTGACAGCTGTCTAAGACGGAATCGCAATCGACCGAAAGATGACTTCCCGGCTTCTGCAGATTTCAGCAGACGTACAAGAATTTCCAAGTTTCTCCGGGAAAAACTTTTCGGTTGAAACACATTTCCGTTTTGTCCTCAGTCTACTCGAGACCAATATTCTCATGTCTCTCGTTTACAGTCTCTATTTTCATAAAAATCAACGTTGCTGGGTTTAGATAGATTTCTATTCGATTTTTTCGGATAAAAATTATAAACAATGATGATAAATCCTATTATCTCTAATTAAAAAAAAAAAAAAAATGTTACACACCCCAATAACTTTCTTTTGTTTAAAATATTTTCATTCAAGTCGGTTGCATCGTTATCAAACAATTCATAAAAGATATAGAGTTATATTAAATTACACAATTTCTTTAAATCCATCACTTATAGGCGCTCGAGCATCAAACATATATTATCTTGTGAACCCATGAAGCATGAGGCACATTTTCCATATAAAATACATTGTTTTTATATGACCATGACAATGATTGAAAATTTATTGCAATTTAAGTTCAAGTATAAATAAAAGTAGTATACATATTTTACAGTCTTAAAAATAATGATTGGTTGAGATATTAATGATAAAATGTCTTGAGATTGAACTTTATAGTATTATAAGACCTAAATCATACCATAAATAAGAATATTTCACGAACAGATTACTTTTAATATTAAAACCATCTAGAAGGCAATGCGTGATTCCAAGAATAGAATATAAAACCTACAAAATTTGATAAAGGTAATATATGCATAATTATATAATGATATGTGTAAGGAAGAAAAAATGAACGTATGGCTCTTAGTAATACTCAATTGAAATATGATCTCTTCCACACATGATGGACATTCATCAAAAGATTATTATTTTAATGAACGCGTAGAAGCGACAAATAAGCAATGATAAAGGTTTAACATGCAAATTGCATTCTGTAATGCGGAACACTTAACCCATATGAGACTCATTACTAGGTGCCAGCATTGATTTTACAATAATATTCAGATACACCAGATATCAATAATTTTCTATTGTTGAAAATCTATTTTTATTAAATTATTCACTATCAATATTTACAATAGGATGGCTTATCCCAATATTCCAAAAACCAATAATACTAGGTGTTTATGACCAGTGTTGACTGATCTAAACGTGACCCAATATCAGTTGAGTTTTAGTAGGATCATGCGATTATCAATAAGCACCTACGGGACATTATATTATACTATATTATTTTAATGTTAAATGAATTCATGAACAGAGTTAAATTGTGATCACATTAACTTGTGTGAACCCTAAAAACACACACAAATCAATTTGAAACTGCCTTTCAATATTAGGAGGTAAAATTGAATCGGCCAAATATAAAATGATAATATTTACACTTTTATACGAAGATTATCTGCACGTATCATCCCTCCAATTCAAATACAAATAATAGCGTTTTCATGTTTATATATTTGTCCGTTGCCCAGAATAATCGATCGGTAACGCAATAGGCCAACAAAAATTTCAAAAGTTTCAAGTTGTTCGATATAAGTAATAAATGCGATATGTCTTTCCCCCATCGGTCATATATACAAAATTTCGATCGACACAATTTCCAACACACTTGTACACCGTTTCTTGTATTTTGTAGTTGGTAGATAGTGAGTATTTATTTATATTTGTATTGAAATACTTTTAAACTCCTATGCTACAATCGTTTATAGAACCTACGCAAATTTCTTATCTTAGTGTTAATTTTTTATTTTTGTGTTCTTCTGTTATACATTTGTTATCATCATTTTTTTAATACCTCGCAACACACATGACGACTACTCATCAAATACGTGTGTACCTGCATGAATACGTACAAATATTTACATATGCTTTTATGTTTTTAAACACCAAACTAAATCCTGTTGACGATCACGAATTTTTGCCGTGGGTTATCGCGTACATTTTCCATGCGACTGTTGTTCTGTAGCATCACATATACTTTCACTGGCGCCATAAATACACGCATACACGTCCATACATGTACATACACACACGCGTGCATACAGGGATTAATTCGCCTGCGGCTTACATGTATGTACATAACTTCTGTCTTTCCGCATCCGGTCTGTCCGAAAACGTCCGGAACTCATTACACCAACCTAACTACAATAACAGTCATGCTCTGCAATAATTATTATTTTATATATAAAAAACATATACATAAAAAAAATTATCAAAATGTTTTTAGTTATGTATACTTGCACACATCATAAAGATGTATGGAGTTGAGATATTATAAAAATATTAGTCGTTGCGATAAAATCGACGTCTGTTCACTATATGGATAAACGTGAACGCGTATGATTACATACATGAGCCCATGTACAAGTCCGAATTAAGGTTATATGGGTTCACGTCTCCATAGTTCACATATGTCGATAGTCACAGATTATACCATATACACAATATTCACATACATGATAATTGTAACACATAATATTTATGGACGCATCTCGGCCATGAATATTATAGCAGGTAAGAGGAATAATATGGTCGAATTGCGTCTCCAAGACGGGACACAAATTACCCATTAAATTTACTACCTAAAAAAATATACCTTTTTGGGGGGACGCAAGTAATATGCAGCCAAAATTGGCTGCAACAAGATTGGGCAATTTTTCCCTTTTTTGCCCTATTAATTACACCACGATTGCACAAAAAAAATTGCAACACGATTGCGCCCCGATCCCTTTTTACTTGTTAAAATCACAACGCCATTGCACACCAAATAATATGTGTATATTCTATGTAGGACCTATATTGTAGGTATAATAATTTATGTACAACATAAAATAATCTATACAATACAGATTTACTACATTTAATTTTCATGAACTTATTATAACCTATTAATTCAAAATGTTCCTACCTATTTATTACAGGCTTAGGACTATCAACAAATTATCATCGTTGGCTTATTTAAAAATTTTTTTTTTCTAAATTACATGTATGCTAAATGTATTACTGACAAGATCAATAGTTTAAATTATTTTTATTAAAAATTGTTTTTTTTTTTTTTTGTATACTGAGAGTCATTAGTCGATATTTTTACTACTCGTATAACTATTATTAGCTCAACTTTTCATTTCGATTTTGAAAAAGTGCATTTTATGAATAAATAGTTTAAGTGCACATGTGTGGCTTCAAGAGAGGTACCACTGGGGTCATGCTCCCCCTCCCAGGCTTTTCAAAAATTTAAATTTTTTAATACATTTGTGTCCAATTATTTAATTAGATATCTACCTAACAATTTTATTTTGCCTATAAACCATATTATGACCTTAATATGAGGTGTGTATCATTATATAGGAACGTAATATATAAATATTTTATTTAATTAAACCAAGTATATTGTATAAATACAAGAGATTATTTATTGGAAAACTTGCATACTAGGATGGTATATTCTTAGAGCTCTCTCTGCGATTTAGCGATAGCTAAAAAAAATGGCCCACTCTCCTGGTAAGTATCTGAAGTCACTCCTGTGAATGCATGTATATGTACATTATAGAAAGTATGTATTGCATATATTATTTTATGATGTACATAAATTATTATACCTACATAATACATATACATATTATTTGATGTACAATGGTGTTGTGATTTTATCAGATAAAAAAGAATCGGGGCGCAATTGTGGTGTAATTAGTCAGGTCAAAAAAGGAAAAATTGCACAATCGTGTTGCACCGCCAAAATTACATTGGATGATCATTTGTATTTTTACGGTACTTACAAGAATATTTTCATTTTCATTTTTTTCTCGTTTGAACTAACGAC